TGCTGAGTAAAATTATTTCAAGGCTTTTCTTAAGTTGAGAGGACAAGGGCTGAGAAAGAGAGGAAGTGTCTGGGAATCTAGTGAAAAATGGAAAGGCTTAATGACATCGTTCACGCAAGCTGGACAGTCGCCTAGGCCTTCGTTTATACCTTTACCTTGATCACTTGGACCTCACAAAGCAAAAGGACCTTCCGTTTAGCCTGGGAAGAGAGAAATTTCCTCTTGCGGTTCCTTTTCCTTTTCCTTTAGTCCTTCACCGCCTGCCTTTAGTTAGCCAGCACAGTTTTAAAACAGTTCACCCACACGCAGTCGCTGTCTGGGTGTTCGCTGTCTGTGGTTAGCATCGTGTAGGAGGCTGATCCTAACTCCTTATGTGAAAAGAGATTTGACATACACAGACGAACAACGTCCTGGTTTATCTTCTGTAACTGACTCAACTGCTGACCTTGCTACTTCTCCCCCTTTTGCTCCCACCAGCTGCTGTCATGGGAAAGATTCCCTGATATTTGGGCTGGCCACACGTAAAGTCAAAAGAATGTCCATGAAGAAAGGGGTGGAAGAAGTCCAAGCTAAAGAAAGCAATAGGCAAGGGTGTGTTGGAGATGTTTCAATATGAAGCTGTGAACGCTGAACAGGTGTTTTGGACTTGGTTTTATAAGTATACTCTTCTACCAGTTTATCATGCCTTCTTAGTCATGGATTGTAACAAGAAATAGTTCATTTTTTCTCTACTCAGTCTGTTCAGGACCTTGAGGTTCATTCTCCTATACCAGTATATTTTTGTCTAGCTCTTGCAATCTAAGAAATACAACTGCAACATAACCAGCTCCTTCCCAATGGAACAGATGTATATCTTTTATTTCTGTTCCATCAATGAGGTACTAAAAAAAAAATGTATTTAGGACAGCTTGCTGCAGGCACACATGACAGCACAGAGCATGTTGAAATAAATTAGAAATCTGGAGTCTACAGGTGAGGGGAAGGAGACTAAAAGGGAAAGGTCACATACAAATAAAAGAAACGCCATACGCGGAAGCAAGTCAAACTTCAATTGCTGAACGATGGCTAGCAGGATTCATGGCACCAGCTAACTGCCTGCTTTTGGCAGGTGCTCTTAATTCTCTCAAATGCTGACAAATCAAATATTGCAATTTACATTCCCATCCCATAAACACGTTGAAATGTTTCATTCTTGAGCCCTTACGTGATTACTGCTACCGCTTGCCGAAAAGGCTACAGCTGAAGAGGGCTGCTCGGGCAAGAATTTGTAGTAATGCGTTTAGCCTCCCCTGATACCAAAGGCAAATATGCCCCAGCCCCGCTTTGAATGTTAACAGACTTACCGGCCACTGAGCTGGAAGTTGAGCTAATGACAAAGCAGAGGAGCCAGAACACTTTGGTTGTCATTTTGAAGTAAGGTTTTTCCAGACTCAAAATGAACTGGAGTCTTTTATGCCCTTCCCCCGATTCATGCTAATGAGAGGCAGCCTTAGGGGAAACAGGAATCACGCACTGGACAACCCCCTGGAGCAAGACCAAGCTGCTGCCGCCCCGCTAGCCTCCCGCTACCCCTGCCTAGGAGGAATGCGCCCGGACACCCCCCTTCCCGTATCTACACAACTCTGTACTGCCTGCAGTCACCTGTGTTCCTGCGAATAACACACAGATACGTGTTTTTAGCAACAGATTTTTATTATAGGGGAGGGTCTCGCTTCCTATGGTGTTTTTTAGAGACAACCGTACAGAACAAATACAGTTCTACTGGATATGGAGAACTACATTATAAAGGGCAATTGACAGATGCTGGAACATGCATCACCTCCGTGATTCAGCGTCTGTAAAGGAGGTGCGTTACGATGAAACATATTTAGGTATTTCTGGCCACCTCCAGTTACACAGCTGGTAATCTCTTTTAGTTTAAGGAACCCTTTCCAGTGATTCTTTTCAGACTGAAAAATGTCATAGTTACTGTCTAGTCCAAGGGACGGCTCTGCTGACCCCAGATAAAGCTGTATTTTTAAATCTGTATTTGCTAACATGAAGAACTCTGCAAATTTTCACACACCAAGCCAACTCTGATTTAAGTGGGCTTATTCCTGTGTTCCCAACTGAAATGGGTGACCTTATTGCCAGACAAGATTTCCATTGTGGCAGTTTCTCTCGCTAGCTGCTACTGGGTGTCGTGCAAGTTAGTGAACTGGTTCATGCTTTTAAGGTGCAACTAACGACTTAAAAACCCTATAAAAGCACTATATCCCAGCTCCTAACACTCACCCCCCAACAAAAAATCTGCCCATCGGTAACGCCTGTGTCATGTGGTCCAGCCATTGCCTAGTTTAAACAGTTTGTTCTGTACTGCCTTAATTAGGCAGTTTAATAAAATTCTTAAAAGTACAGGGCTTTATCTCAAGCAGCTGTGGGTGAAGATACAGAAAATTAGCCAGAATAGTGTGCAAAACAAATGAAATTTTAACACATCTGTTACTGTGTTAAGTTTCTACCGCAGCATTTATTAATCCTTATTTTCCTTTGTTATTTTAAACATTTGAATTCCAAAAGTATCCAAGATAGCTATTACGGAAACAGGAATTTAAACGACGGATGAGGCAGAGGTGAGCTCGCGTGTTTTTTACGTACCTCACCTCCCGCGCCACCAGCGCGCGTCCCCACAGCAAGCCAGGGAAGTCGGGCGCGTGACGCGCTCGTGCTGTTGGGGCTGGACGGATGCACGCGTGAGCGTCCTGCAGACCTGTGCGCCAGGGAGTCTTCTGTTTGAGTTAGCTGGTAGCGTGACTCAACCGATATTGACGTACGACTATGTCTGTATTAGCGAGTTTCTCCAGACTCTTTCCTTGGACAGGATCTTGATTAAAAGGACAGTAGGAGCGTCTGGAGTAGGCCTGCCCTTCGAGGAGCGACACGTACGCCAGCAGCAGCGGAGAGGGCAAAAGCTTTCAGAGCAGGGCTCCCTGCTCCGAGGAACGCGGGGACTGACAGCGCCCGGGCCGCCTCCTACTCCAAGAGGCTGCAGACCGCTGCGCGGGCAGCAGCAGGAGTTTTACAGGCCCGGGTCCCCTTGCGGGTTTACCACGGCGGCTCCGGAGGACCCACGGTGCAGGACCCTGGCCGGGACAC